TTTTTTTTTTTTTTTTGATGTTCTAGTTACAATCAATAACTTCGCAAAAGGCTTTTTTGATTTTGATTCTGCCTCTGTTACTACTTCATCTTCATACAAGCATCCATTTTAAAAAAAATGGTAACCACAAGATGGAGGATTTGAAAAACAAAGCAACAAGTGAGTGTATCAATTTCTAAACCTCAAAGTTTCCTATCTGTCTCTGCTATTTATCGAAGTTTAATACTGCAAATCATAATCACAGAAATATCGCTCTTTTCTGCCTCCCTATTCGCTTGCTTGTAAAAGCCCCATTCTAAGACCAAACTGTAAAATTTCAGTTGTACAAAAATCAGCTTTTTGTGTTTTTCAAATCACTTTATAACATTGACAACGTCTTTAAAAACTTTTTTGAACTGATGAAGCTTAGTCGTGCAAGTAATTTCGTTCGGTTTAACAAGCTCAAATAATGCCCTAATTGTTAGATACGAAGTGCTTTGAAATCTGTTACACTAAAGTAATGTGGATAAACCATTTGGAGTGCTGCAACGGAGTTCTCTCCTTCATCTTTCACGTCTCTTACTTTCGGTTCTTCTTTCGGATCACCGGCTTTAACGAGCTGATCTTTATCGTGAACGTCTGACATCCCGATCAACCTACAGAGAGCACCTAAAATAACATTTTTAACATGTCCCATTTTGCGATTAATATTTTAAATTTAAGAAGAGCTTCAGCAACACACCTACAGCTCAGCTTGACGCCAAAACTCTAGATTTATAGACAATTTGATAGAGGTACCATCGAAAGCAAAGCGACTAATACTAACAAAAATATTATTTACGTACTGAAGTATTAGGTATCAAGATCAATATTTTGACAATAAAAACTGTCGTACAAGCCAGATGCATTGAACAAATTGATAGTCTATTTGAACAAGTAATTTTGAACTAGTTTAAAACCACAAAATTTGACTTTTTTACTTTTAAATATTCGATATGAAGTTGAATATAACCTAAGTACTTTTAACCAATGACAGTATCGTCATTGCAAATATGAAATAAATTCCGAGGAAGGAAAACTTTGACTACCATGCACTTCCAACAATGCATCAGACACTACCGCTGTCAAATGAAAGGAACTTTATCAGCCCAAGGATAACATATGCACGTTACAGTGTACAGGAGTAAGTTGTTAAATTGGCTTCGAACCTTTATCCCAATAAGACCTCGACAACAGCATCAGATTCGTGCATGAGTTCTGAAACATGACTTCACCAAAACAAGTTAGAGAAAATCTGTTAGACAAAAGTCTTTCATACTCCAGTCAGCTGTTAAATTTTTAATTTAAATTTCCCGCAAATGTAGGTTTTCGCTGCGTAAGTCTTTGCCTACGAAAAATGTCTGAGACAAAACTTGATACCTTTTTGCGCGATATTTACCGTTTTTTTTAAAATTGGCCAAGAACTATGACCTTTTTTTTTTTGTTGTATTACAGTTACTTAACCTCATAAGTGGAGGATTTTAAGATCAGATAAAATGTGGTTCCATTTTATGTTACCTACAGCAAAACCTTATTTTCACCTGCTCACCAACTTTTTTCCTTTTTGTACACAACTTTTTATCTTTGTCCCTAGGGTTTTGTCCAAAGCTGAGTTAAGCAGCATAATTTCAAAGACTCGGTACGTGCTTTCTGTATTTTTAAACGTCTGATATTATTGGATTTTTTTCCCTGCTTATTTGCCTTTACATCATATGGTTTTTAACAGCGGCATATTGAATATGCTAACGGTTCATTCGTGTTTCTTCTCAGATTATATTTCCTGCTGAATTCTTATACCGTCATACTATCTTTTGTTACACTTCGGTATTACAAAAGCCTGAGTAACAGAAATATATTTTTATCACCTTTTGGAGCGCCTTCTGTTTCATTAAATGCTGGGATTGTTCTTGACTAAAGAAACGTAAAGCGAAAATTTGAACAACATTCAGGCGAGCGTCTCTTAAAGATTCTTTGCCTATTTTAGAAAAAAAAAAAGTAAGTAAATTTTGTATAGATGATTGAAACAACTTAGATCAAAGACATATTTTAGAAATGGTTGACAGTTACAAGAATTTTGAACACGTAGGGTTTGAATGCTAGATATATTCAGACTTTCAGCTGTCAAGCATTAGTAATTATATACATGTATTTACAACTATCTGCTCTTGCAAAGATTAGGGACGTGAAGAGGCATATTAAAGATACAACGATATTTGATAACAAACTCTTGAAGAACGAAGAAGACTTATAAAACTTTGTGAATTCTAGCAAAACCAACCGGTCATAGCCGGGAAGCCTAGCACAAGGTACGATGATAAATGACGAAAAGAGAAGTTTTAAAAAGAGCGGCGTAAAGCAGATTGAGGCCAGGGTTATCTTGTAAGCGCGGTTCTACTTTTTTTTCGAGTGAACTGAATTTCTCAGAATTTTAGCTCTCTGTGTTTTTTCTACCAAAACATTTTTGGTAGCAGAATTTAACAGCTACTGCAACTTGTTTTTAAGGTTACTTGGAGAAATTTTTGTCGTGTATTTCTTAGTTTGCAATTTATTAGCACTTCTGTAGTCGAGCTTTTATCGTAATTTTATTACGACTGTCAAACTTGCACTTGTATGTTCAGTATATCCACCAGTAGTTAATTTTCTCTTTTTCAGGAATAAGAAAATTTTATGGATTTCAAAAAACCAAACGATTAGGTGAATGGAGGATCGCTGCATCAGCGAGGAACAGAAAAAGAGTTATAAAAGAAAACGGCTTTTATTAGGAAGTGATACAGATTTTCCTGCAGCAAAAATACGGAATCAGAGTGACGAGGTGAAGGTGGTCGTCCCAAAGGTTCTTTTCTTTCTTCATTCTTTTTTTTTTTTCTACCGTGAAATAGCAAAACAGTTTGGCCATCTGTTTGGAAGTGCTTCTGCCTGGTATTGTCCTTGCATCTACATTTAATAGTGAATAAGTTGCCTCTTTTCCAAACAAATCAGTTGTCTTAATTTCAGAAGATTGGAATAGTTTTAACCCTTGGCTATAAAAATTCAAAGTGGCTGTATAGTAGGTGAAGTGAGTAGTTAACTTTTTTGTTGCGCTGTAGGTTTCATAAAAATTTCTTACTTTACTGCGACAGGTAATGATTGCATTTCAGTTTGTAACTTGCCTTTTGAACCAGAAAGAAACAGAAATGCCGCTCAATGTCGGCTACCACGTCAAAGATGGTAAATTTTCATTCTTTATTAAAAATTGTGTATATATTTGTTATCCAGAATAAGTACAAAGTAAAAGTGAATATAAATTTTTATGAGCACCACAATCGCATACGTCTTTTAATGTTATTTTTCTTTAAAAAAATTTTTTTCCCATGTATATCTGTAGCTGATGCTTTGTTTCAACTTTTCAAATTTATTCGAGCTTTGTAACTCCTGCGTTTACAAATCCCCTTCTTTTTGAAAATCAGGGGCTTCTTCTACTTGATTTGACTCTTCTTAGAAGGAATTCCGATAGTCTACTAACTTTCTCAATTTCAAACATTAGATTATATTGGAGAAGTAATTGGAATTTTCAGGAATTCGTTTTTTAAATCCTTACTGGTCAGTTTATAAAGCTCACGCGAAAGCTCGATGGGTGGGCCAAAAGCTTACTGATATTTTTGCTTCAGAATTCATTTCCGCCGCGCCGAACTACATAGTTTGTTTCCTGTTATTTTAAGCCTAATGACATCATATAACAAAATTTCTGAATGTGTTTCTTCGTGTAGGACAAGTTTTTCAAACTATTGTGTCTTTCAGAAGGCTGCGTGCAAAATGGGCAGAATTTTTGTCAACGGTTCACCGATGACTAATCTTGATTATGTTGTTCAGAACAGTGATTTAATTCACCATATTTGTCACCGACATGAACACCCTATACTTGCAAAACCCATAAGAATTATCTCAGAAGATGAAAATTTACTTGTAATTGATAAGCCGCCAAGTATGCCAGTACACGCTTGTGGTAGATATAGATTACATACTGTTATCGGTTTGCTCATGATGGAGCACAAAATTGGTGGTTTACGAGGTGAACACGAATTTTTTCACTTTCTCATTTTTAGTGGTGGCTTAATTGTTAGTACTTGAGTGTGTTCCATTAAGAATTTTTCAGTTCTTCATAGACTTGACCGGACTACATCCGGAGTTCTTTTACTTGCTAAAAACCTCAAAACGGACCATGAGGTAGCTGCATTGTTACTATATGTTTGTCAAATTGTTTCTTATGATTACAGGGCTTGTTTAGGTCATTTCTTGTTTATTTTCCAACATTGATCTACTGTTTATGATTGAATATTGAGTAAACAAGACATATTTCTTTTTGTACCTATATTAAATAAGTTTTTCATGGAGAAATTCTAGGTTCTTTTTTAGTAGTATTTAATTTGAGTGAAACAGGGTCTTTGGCGGAGAAGTTTTTTTGACATTTAACCTGGGTTTTTAGTTTAAAACTACTTTGAAGAACGGAGAATGGAAAAAGGAGTATGTTTGCAAAGTAGATGGAATTTTCCCCGAGTAGGTCTTTGCAATAGTATCTTGATTGAACTTATTTTTGGAGCATATCTAAATGATTTTTTATTACGCTGAGAGTGCAGAGTACAGTTGCATTTTATCTTGAGTTACAGTGGCGAAATTATTTGCGACCAACCAATCGGCACTATTGTTCCTTCGCTGGGGATACAATGTGTACGAGAAGATGGGAAACCTTCAAAGACAAGATTCAGAAAAATGTGGACAGACGGGAAAACTTCACTTGTTCGCTGTTTTCCAGAAACTGGAAGAACACATCAAATACGCGTACATCTTCAGTATCTAGGTTTTCAGTTATCTTCTCCACTTAAAAAGCTCACATAATTGTACTAGCATTAAGAATTTTTGTGAAACTGGTTGAAGCTTCTCATCTAGAACTCCATTAAAACTAGTATTAACTCTGTCAATTACGGTTCCAGCTCCAGTGAGTTAAGTTAGTAAGACATTTGCGCTGAAGCAGGGAAGCTAAACTGCTGTTTATTAAAACGTTTTTTAAGGTCAGCATTTCTTCATATTTTGCAGGTTATCCAATTTTCAAAGACTACTATTACAATACTGATGACTGGGGTCCAAAAAAGGGAAAAAATGGGGAATATGGCAAATCTTATGAACAGGTAGTTCTCTTTCATTTCATAGGTAGCTTTGATTGTAGCTTTGCAGATCGAGAAGTCGAGTGGTGAGCGCAAGGGTTGCTCAGAAAGTCAAAAATTAATTTTAGTAGAATTGTTCAAGAAAAATAACAGTTGTGTATCAGAATCTTTACGAACCAAATTGATTTAGTTGGGAAAGGACATTACCAGATCGCACGATCGAACCCTTTGGAATGAACCAGTTGATGATAGCTACTTAGATCGAATTCATCGTATTGCTACAGAGGACGTTAGTATTTCAATTTCGTCACTTCTAAAAAAACGAATTTTTTGAAGATTTTTTTGTCAGAACATTCCAGGGAGATTTGGAGTCCTATCTCGCGAGAATCAAAGAAGGGGATGGAGACTATGACGAAATTTGCTATTCTTGTCATACAACAAAAAAAATCCCACCCATACATCATTTTATGATGTATTTGCATTGTCTTAGATACGAAACCTCATACTGGAGTTACTCAACAGATCTTCCGGAGTGGGCAAAAGAACCTAACGCAAGTGGGGTTGACGGAGTTGAATGTAAGGAGTAAGAAGCGAATATATGTAACAATTTTTTCCCTATGCACTTTGCTCATAAAGTTAAATTATAGCTGCTGCAGTACAAAGTATTTTTACTCAAGTAAGGAATTATTTAACTCTAAGTGTCGAGTCTGTTGTACGATGCTTTCTAAATATAATATCAGTTGTTTTTTTATCAAATGGTTGTCAGTGAGTACTGGACGAGAGCGACTCATCCCAGATAAACTAATGTCTTGTGGCATGACATGGTCGGCCTCTGTGGCATTTAAGGTGTATTGGCTCAACTTTCAAATTGCAAGGTTAAAGAAAATCTTGACGTGCTTGAGTCGCCTTCTAGCTATATCAGCTGTTGTAAAGTCCTACTCACCAGTCTTCACGCAAGACACTGATAAAAAAAGTTAGGGACTTCTTGCAGCTCACAAGAGAAACTGGAGTGGTTCTGAGTTTTCTTGCGTTATTATGTCATTCTAAACATCACAAGGCAGTCTGGAGGTCTTTATTGCTGAATTTAGTCGGAGTAATGCCTGGAGCATGTGGGAAGTGGTTGAGCAGAATGGATCACAATGCCTAGTCCCAGAGCATATATCCAAGAGGTGGTTTGGAAGCAAATAACGCACTGTGCCATTAACTACATTAGGCTATAGAAAAAACTTGCGTTCAAAGATTTGCATATAATGAGACTGGACAGTAAAAAAAGTGGATTTTTTTGTAAAAGTAATAATATCTTCGAGAATCTCTTGGGCCGCGTACACACTTTCAGGCGAAGCCAGCACTTGCAAAAGCCTGCTTAACAGACTCGTAAACCTGAAATGCATAGTTCTTTTTTTTTGCGAGATAATATACGATGTATATTTTCTGGGTTGTAATGCACTCCACGTTAAAGAATTTAGCTGTAGTCTTTTGATAGTTTACTCAGAACCTCACGTACCTCTTCTGGTGATTTGAGCCCTTCAACTTCTTTAACCAGCGCCAAATCAGTGTAGTGTTGGATTATAGGGAATGTCTGATCGTGGTATGTTTTGATCCGTTTACGTAGGGATTCCTCGTTATCATCGGACCTTCCCTGTCCCCGGCTTAGGCATCGTTTTATACATACCTTGAAATCTATGTTGAATTTGCTGAAGATTGTTTTTAAAAAGCATATGAGATAGAACTTACATCTTCTGGGCACGATATGTACAGCAAGAAGGGTACATTCGTTTTTTCGCCCATTTGACGTTGCCACCCGTCAAGATTGTCCTGATTTCTGGGAAAGCCATCAACCAAAAAACCTTTCGCTTCTGGAGCAGCAATCATGGCCTGTAAAATGCATTTAGATTCACTTGCTGAGCTGGGCCTCTCAAGATTTCTGAAGCACATCACAAAGTGAATAACGGAAAATCAATAAAAGTTGTACTACTTGCATAATAATCTGTCAGTTAATTACATTTTCCAGAAGGCTACATGTAATCTCTACGGGTACTATGGTACCATTCCGAATGTGACCTTCAATCAGCTCCCCGTACTGTGATCCCTTACGTGCCCGTTCCGCTCGCAAAAGATCACCAGCACTTAAATGTACGAAGCCAAGATTCTGTAAAGGATACCTGTAGTTGAAATTATTGCGCAAAACAGTAAAAAGTGCTGGGACAGCTTCCATTTAACAGAAGAAGTTTGCTTTTTTAGAAATAAAGAAAGATTGATTGTTTCTGTAAAAAAAAGTTGTAAAATGTAAAAAAATAGCAACCAAATTCCACTCCACAATTACAAAAATAACTGCGCGGAGAGAACAGTTACAAGGTTATCTACAGAATTTAAACAGTAGTTGTTGAGGAGTAAAAAATTAATAACGAGCGACTGCCATTTGAATCAACCTTTTGGATTTTAGCGCACTGTGTTCCTTTACCGCATCCTGGAGGTCCCAGCACAAAAACAACGTTATATTTAGACTTCCTTTCAGTAGGTGCCATCACAGAATTATAAAGACAAAATAAGGTAGCAGCTTTTGGTGGCTGAGATCGATGAGGTGAAAAACGCACTAAAAGTTACCTAATTGATGCGTCTAACAACGTTCAAAGATAGTTCTACTAATTTCTTCGAAAAGTTAATGACTCTGAAGAATAGGATGCTACGGCAGTTGTTAGTGAAACTCTCAAATAAAATGTGAATGTATAAACCAAGTAGAAACAGAAGCAGGCGTCCTAAACCCAAATGTTTCTCAACAATATGGTCGAACCACCTGCACACATTTAATATAGCATGGCTATGCAACAAAAATGTGGCACAAAGTTTCTGGAACATAACAAACACTTATTAATGGTTCTTTCTTTCCACATCTCTTGGATGTCATAAACTATACTGTAAAATGAAGATACTAGAAAAATTTTAAAAAAAAATAACATAAAACAAAATGCGGGGTAAGAAGGCCTTTAAACTGAAGTTCTCCTTCACTAAAAAATTCGGAAATAAAATGCAACTACTAAAGCTCTATTAAAATACAGTTCAACAAGACACCTCAAAGCGAGCAGCCTTTGGAAGGTGAACAGGCAGACTGTTCTAATACATATATAAACACTTCCTATCAATGTTTTTCCAATAATGCACGACTTTTACCAAACACCGATTAATATTAAGAACTTTTTCATTTAAAAGTATACAAATACTTAAATAAGAAGGTAATTACGGGAAAGAACCAACAGTATAAAGGACCAGCTCTTGCAAAAATAATTTCAAGAGAACCGGATGTTCAATACGGCTCAAATGAATTCAAAAAAAAAAAATTAATAATAGTAATAATAATAATAATTCAGCCAAATTAGTGAAAAATTCTCTATCAACTCAACGATGGCAGCCAAAAAAACCAAAAAGTTTACTTGAGAATAGACAAGAAGCAAAAAACAACTCAAGCGTCAAAGAATGTTTCCATTTCAAAGCTATCTTTATCAACGCAGGTTTTCCACGTTTATCAGAACATATGTGCATAAAAATAAATCCTAGCAACAAGTTAACAACAAATACAAATGTTTAACGCCGGTAAAATTGGTTCATTATCCTAATTAAAAAAACATGAGTCAGAATCAAATGCGTGCTTATGAAGTCATTTGCTGGTCTTAACCTCGGACCTCCTCTTATGTTAAATAACAAACAAACCACAATAGGTCTTGAAGTTACTTATAGGCAAATATATTTATTTATTTGTCACTATATAGCTAAATAATGCATGTCCGCACAAATCTCCCACGTTTTCAAAAAGCAAAAAATTACAAAAACACAGAAGAGAAGAAGAACAAATCAATAAGACCTTGTCTGAAAAGAGAAAGGAAAACTTTACAACTGGTACTAAACGTAACAGAAATATCGGAATATTGAACAAACTACTTAAAAAAAGTGACAGAAACACTGGCCATACAGCGCCCAAATTACAACTGTAACTATTCCTTTCTCCACCCTTCTAGCACCACCTGCATATTCACTGGTACATTCAGTCGGCAGCACCAACACAAAATTTTGACCAAAAACTAAAAAACTTCAATGTGATCATAAATAATACGTTATTAAGCCAGTTAATCAAGTCCCTTTTCGCTGTTTTACTATGTTTAACAGCACCTCCTCTTTGAGAGATAACCATCGTCCCAGAAAATTTCAATAAGGTCAAATTTTGTCTCTGTTAAACGAAAAGAAAAGTGAAAAATTAATTAAACCGAAACTTGAATGAAGAAAAAAAGCTGCTTGACGATTAGAGAAATGAGTGTACTTATTTCAGCAAAGATAAAAGATGAAAAACATATGAGACCCATGATGAACTGCGCCTAACAACAATGTGTTTATTTCAGAGAGCATTTTTATTGATTTTTCGTAACCAATAGTACGAGCACAAACGACGACAACTCCTTTTACATGATGTACTGAAGATACTTCACTGATAAGTGTAGCCCACAAAAAGTAAACTCAAACAACAGAACTTCTTATTTTCAAATTTCTGATGTATTAGTTTTTTATCGCGCGTACAAAAGAAAAATTGAAAACTTTAAACTTAAATTAAGTTGTACAAAAGCCGATTACGCTAGGTGCTTCAAAAAAGCTGTACTAGACAGCAAAAGTTGCTAGTCAATAGGCGCTAATATAACTACACGTTTCTTTGAAGTGTATAGCCAGCGATCAATTGTGTACCTGTGTACTTGTATCACCACTGCATCGTTCGTAGGAATTCGCACAGTAATAAAGTGTAAATTACTCCTTCTTTTTTCTCGCGTTATCTGATAATACAAATTAGCGAAGAATTTCTGTACAATAATTGGAAGTTATCTAACTACATCAAAAATAATGCTTAAAAAACCCTCGATGAATTGACAGTCTACAAGTCCCAATGCTGAACGAATTGTTGCAAGTAGGCAAAAAATGAAACTACAAACGTGTAATCAGTAGTCTGTTATCAGCGTTAAATGAAGAGCCAAACAAACTGGCCTAATAATGAGCATATCGCTCGTTCATCTGATATCAAAATGTCAATCGAGTGCCCCTTAAAATCACTTTTCTGTCTGGAAAACTCTCTTCAAAATCCATCCCTTTCATTTTCAACTGTAATCACAGTGAACTTCTAATTTTTAAATAAGAAAAAGCTATAATATAAAGTATCGTCCACAAACTGATAACAATTCATTCCAGCATCATATATAATCGTTTAAAACGTCAGTATTGAGAGGAAAGAAAATACAACCGTGAACCAGCTGCTGCTGTGAATACTCAGACAATGTGCGTCTGATTATCACAGTATATCACAGTCTACTCTAATACTAAGCACGACTTAGTTACGTAGTAAAAAACCCTTTCTATTTAGACTAAAAAAAAAATCACTAAAAAATTGAAAACTTAAAATAAACCAAAGGTGAGGTTAATATACATCAGCAGAGTACCATAAAAAAATTTAGAAGTAGGAACTTACAAAGAGATCGAAGTAGAAATGCCAGGTTGAAAGAGGAGTATCAACAAAATTTGATTTGCATGAATATTTTCCTGAAAAAATTTACATACAGCCTACGCGGCAGTGTAATGCCATCAACCTTCTTTAAATACAATTACATCTTGACAGTACCGGTTTAATGTTGGCTTCCAACAATTGCGTTGAAACATAGTTCAAAATCCGTTTTTGAAACTATATACATGTGTCCCATCAAAACTGTTGTACATTTGAATAATATAATATTCGCGGGATTACAAAAAATGATATCATACATATTACACATCAAGCAGTATAAACACAACTGCAAACCTTCAAACGCTCTAAATGTTTAAATCTCTGTCCCATTAAAAATCGGCTTCTCACCGTTCATCAGAATCAGTTATTTTCACTGCGTTCTCTGTTCAAAAAAAAACGAAAATCTTGACGACACATCGGGAAGCGATGAAATTCGTTTTTTTGGCACACACCCAACAGCTAGCTTCATCTAGAAAATCATCAATTTTAATCTAAGGCAACGTAGAACACTTTCGACAATTGTTCGGTACTAGTTTGACTATTTCCCAGCTGCTATGGCTACAGATGTAAGAGCCCGCCATCGAGCTTCATTTCGAGGTTTGGAAACGAAGGACTAATGTCGTGAATCTTTCACTTCAAAAAGCCTAGATGACAGGTTCTCTGTTAGTGTTCCTCAAGATCATCCAAATTTTAATGCAGCCGTCCCGTTTTTTTCATTCTGTTTACCGTTGTGTTCTGCATCGGGAAATCTAAATTCACGCTAAACGATATAGCCACTCACTTCTGTTTAAACGACTACTTGTGTTTCTCACTATTAATATATATA